CAACCAACCAAACCCCCCAAAACAACCTATCTTTTTCCCTTGCTTATTTCCGTCCCCCAGCAGTGAGGTCGTAACATACCTGCCCCTAGCAGGGGCTGCCCCGGTCCACTGGGGCTGAGGGGAGTGAGGCGGTGGGCGACTGTGATATTTCTGTGCGTCCGTCTGAGAAACGCGCAGCGCAGGCAGCTGAGGCAGCTCCGGACGGATTTCTGCTCTCCCTCGCTGCGGGATTTCCAGTCCCGCGGGGCGACCGGTCATTGCCTTGGCCTGGGGGAGGAGGACTCGGCCGCGGCGGGGGGAAGCGCTGCGCGGTGAGCGGAGCTCGGCGCACCCGGGCGCGGAGGGGAGCGGAGCGGCGGGCGAGGGGGAACGGAGGCCGCGGCGCGGCCGTGGAGCTGGGACGGGGCTGCCGGTCACCTCCGGGTGGGAGGTTTCCCCCGGTGAGAGGAACGAGCTTTAGGGGCTTGCAGATCTCTGCTCGTACCCTTGGAAGTGAAAAGACCGGGGTGGGAAAAAAAACCAAGAGCTTCGTTTTATTTTATTTTAAACGGGTCCGTCCACACGGGATGGCTTTTCTTTTGCTTGGTTAAGCCATGCAATTTTTCGCTCTATCCGACGAGAATCTGTATATTTTAGGTTTTTTTCCCCTCGCTCCGCCTCCGATAAGGAAATGAGCGTTGTCTAGACGCCCAGAGCACCCCCTCCTTCCCCGTGGGCAGGGAATGGGTCTCGACTCCGGCCGTCTAATCCTCGCTACGGCTCCCTCCCCCGCCGGGGCCGAACTTGGGAGACACGGGGATCAGGCAGCCCGAACGCGGAAAGGGTGAGAGCCCGGCTTCCCTGGGCTGCTTTGCCGTCCCTGCCCACGGCCCTCTCCGGCGACGGGCCGGCTTCCAGAGACCAAGGGGTGGCAGGGGAACACACTACTACCCTAAAGCTCTTGATGCCTCTCTGCTTTCCCAACCAAGTGGATGTATTTGGAAACGTCCGCGCGCTCTTCCCAGGAGATGCGAACCGGAGCTGCCAGTCCCCGCCGCGCCCAGGCGCAGAGCGGCTGTCACCACTGTACCGACCCCCTCCCGAGAGCAGAGTTAGCAACCCTGCTGCTCCCCAACAGGGCGGTTGCCTCGCTTGAACCCGTTTCAATTAAATCCTTCGTTATTGTTTATCCTTACATGAAGAACACGCAATCTACAGTGCAGTTTGTTTTTAATCTAGCAAATCCATGTGTTTGTCGCTGGTGTCAGCCTTGCTGTGGCAGAGACATTTCATTAGGCTTCATTATTCTTTCAAAATACTTTTTTACCCCACTTTCCTTTGCCTAAAAAGCTCCTTACTCTCTTGTGCACCAGAAAAAAACAGAGTGCGGTAATCGCAGCACACCTCATCGAGCTCGTTTGGTTCCCATCTTTAATCAGGACTAGGTCTCAGTTTCGCCGTCAGGTTTCAAACAGGGAGCTTGCAGCCCGCCTCCAAAACCCCCCTCTGATCCCTGAAGATCCAAGGAGAAAGCTCGATCCCGTGAAAACCATGAGCACCGTTTCTTCCCGGCCCTTTCCTCACCTAGAAAAAAATCACGACGGGAACGACACACGAGGGACAGAAAACTCGCAGAAATTCGCCGAGCAACCTAGGGTCCGGAGGGATGATTTCAGGTGCTCCTTCGCTTGTGTGACAAGAGTTCCGACGCTGCGCGTTTCCGCGCGGCCGCGCAGGCCCGCGGGCGGGCGGGCGGGATGTGCGGAGAGGGGCGCACACCGCGCGGGGAACCATGCTCAGGTTTTAAGCAACTCTTTCGCGTAGTCATGAGGGACAGTTGCCCTTTTAGGTTTTTTTTTGTTCCCGAAAGAGCCTCCACGCCGCACACTTCACGCCACAGAGGCAAACCTGGGCTGCGGCACCCGCGGGGCTGCGTCCCGAAAACGGGCCCGGCACCGAGCCGAGCTCTTCTCACGGCTGTCCCTTGGGATAACCTGGCATTTGCCTCCATCCTTCCTCCTCCGTTACTTCCCCGTCTCCCCTCCGGATCCGTAGCCTGTGGGGAGGGCAAGGACCACGTTTAATTAGGAGCCTACGGGTGCGGGGTGCCGCTGCCGAGACCCTCCCTGCCGCCGTCCCACCCTGACCGCTGCTGGCCCCGTGCTGCCCGGGGCGTGTGTCTGACCCTCCAGCCCGCAACCCCTCTCAAAGGTAACCTACAGTGCTGCTTTGGGATTGAGTTTACTCCTGCCTCAGGAGGGAAGAGTAAAATCTTTTGCTCTTTCTTATTTTTCACCCTTGTATATAAAAACCAGTTTCTCCAGCATAAAGAATGGGGTTTATTCTCTCGGGCAGGGTCTCCGGCTCGCCCGTTCGTGCCTTGTCAGAGCACCGCTACTTTACAAAGCCGTGGCTACAGCGCTACCCGGCTCTGGCTGTGCTCCCCTGCAACCTCACGGGATTATCAGCCCTGCTTTCAGGAGCTTTTTTGTCCTCCGCTGCACGTAATTCTATTGCTCTGTCCGCCGGATTTCCCCTGTCTTGGCGCTCCCCGATTTCGGAGCAGCTCCCAGCGCTCTTGCTGCAGCGGGGACGTCGCTCCCCTGCCGCCGCTCCATGCTCTCCCCTTCACAGAAAGAGCCGCGCCAGCAAGGCAGAAGCCTAGGTACCTGAGATCCAATTTCACAACAAAAACAGCTCAATGTCACCTACAGCGAGAAGGTGGCTTATTGGAGCAAAATGCGAGGCGTTTTAAACCTATTAGGCATCTCCCAGATGCAAATCCAATGGTGGAAAGAGAAAGGCTCTAATAAGACCCGAGGGCTGACAATTAGATTATAGTGCAATTGCCAGTGGATAATGTGCTAAAAGCTTTCCCATTTAGTGTAACTCCTCGCTGAAAATTATTCACACTTTGCAGGCTGCCGCGCTCCTGAACGGGAGACGTCTTTGTCCGCGGAGAGCGCGAATAGCCGGGTATAAGAACCCAG